ATGACTACTCTTTCTGGCTATCCAAGTTGGCAGATTGGTAAATTCGTAGTGAGGCGCTGTGTTTCAACTGGTTCTGATTTTTTCAAGAGATAACTGATGTGTTAGTGGTGGAGAAATTGCAATATTATAATATTACCTGTCCTAACAATGCGACAAAGTATGTTCTGTTGTTTCACCACTATTTAAAGAAGGAAAACAAATCTAAAAAACTCCTATGTGCCAATGTCTATTTTTTGAGTTATCTCAAGAATATTAGAGACATTTCTACATTCGATTGGGTTTTTTTTCTCAAGAAAAACGAAGCGTTTCTTGACTCTCTTATATGAATTAAGATAATCAAAATCTACGGAAAGGACGAATATTTTATTTTTTCAAAGATAATGCCTCTTCAATGGATGAAAGAAGCATCTTTTGAAATATCTTTACATTTATCGCACGCTTTAAATGTCACTGACCACAAATTTGTGCTTTCAAAATTACCTTCATAAGAATTTTTTGGTAATGGCCTAGATTGGATGTCCTCGCACCTTAAACATCGATTGCAGATATTGAAAATGCCGCACTATCCCGAAAGAACATTATTTACTCGTCTATACATTTCTTTGCTAATTCACAATCGGGTCCCGCATGTATCTATTTAAGGCCCTATCCCCTCTTTTTTTATCATCTATTAGATAAGGAAGACAGTCACGTTGGCTGATGACAGGAATATTCTCTGAAAAAAGAGAGTACGATTCAACTTGATTTGTTAATAACATCAATAGTAAGTGAAGGAAAAACTGTTTCAATGCAGAGTTGCAATCCAAACATACAATCGCATAAGCCACTGATAATGAAAATATGGAATTGGATAATCTGTAACAAAATGTCTTTTTTCAATTAAGTCAAACCTCAACTATATGAATGAATTAAACACTAAATTAAGTTCATTATGTGAAGCATTCAATATTCTTTCAAGTTCAGTCAGCCTTTATGCAGCCCGTTGCGTGAATTTTCGAAATAACCCTTTGAGACATGGTTTAACATTATGGGTAAGTACTTCTTATAGTATCTAGACTTTAAGAAAGCAGCAAAAATTTAGGTAATACACAACTGCCACCCACGAGTTTTCTATAGGTCTCGCGTCATTGAGCTTACAATCATACCATTGTCTTGTGCATATATTTTCGAATCTGTTATTTTTGTTAAAACTGATATAAGGGCATGAACAAATTTTCATGTAATACAGATATTTAAAATTACAACACATGTCGTAGGAATCATATTAATGCAATGTTAGTATCAACAGCGGACAGCAAGGAATCCACATGCAATACAGGGTAGTTTTGATTATTTTAAAGATTGTAATGCCAATTCGTTGTTCGGCAATAATTTATTTATACAAAGGACGAATCTGCAAACTTTATTGTGAAATATTTAAAAAAATGTTTGTAACGATTTACACATTAAATTTGATGAAGGTGTCGCAACATATAAAGTTGACGTGGAGGACGTAAAAGTTAAGCTCCCTGACCCATCTGTGTTTGGTTGTTTTCAATGGCCTGTGTTCCTTTATAAGTAACAATCTAAATTGAAGTCCTTTCTGTTTAATAAATGTTGTTATACCCTATGAATTTGGCATAGAGGACAGATCGTGAGCTCCAGAACTAATCTAACTGGTTTTTCTTAAGGGCAGCAACATTTGTTTTTTCTTTTACACGATACTTATTGTAATCTAGGTTAGAGTCCCAAGAAATGTTGTTGTGGTATTCTTTCCATGAATAAAGAACATACATTTATTTAGTTGTAGTTCTTTTACACTTTTCCTATATATTCTCCATGTACATCAATACTGTACCAAACAAATTATCAAAAAAGAACCTTATAGATTGTTCTTAAAAATACTATTATTACACATAAATATACTCAGATATGTAGCAGTCCAAAGAGATGAATATCAACAATGTCACATCGAAAACAAGAAATAAATAAATTAAAACATGAAAAGTGTCCCTAGGTATGACACTTTCTGCTATATGCGATCAATTATGTAGCAAGATCGGCTCAACACATACGGTTTACATGTATGTAGCAACAGGACCAACAAAATCGATTTTCAAAAATTGTTAACCGAGTTTATATAAAAAATGCAAAAAGCACGAATTTGCATCGCAAAAAGGAACTATGCTGAAGTTACATAAAATAAATGTGACGACAATTTGATAACAATTTAATGATAAAAATGGCAATTTGAAAAAAATCCGTTTTAAATTTTCCCTTCCATAAATTTTTGGATGGTGATGGACGGGGGGGATGGAGGGGGGACCTCTATCTGGCCCAACTACCCACTGGGACCTAACACCAATCGCCGGCCCTGCTTACTCGCAACAAGCTGCTTTCGTTACGTCATGTGCGTGTTGGCACGCGCAATTATTGAAATTTGCATTAACTGAAGTACAAATTAACTCCTGCACTATTTATGACATTCTATACGTCAGAGAAAAAATTAAACCTAAAAAGGAATTACAGCACTCATTAAAATTTACAAGAGTTCTTCTTGATAAAGAGTATTTTTCTATGATTCTCTTATTTTTGTAACTTGTAGTAATCTATAGTCTCATGATGCAAAAGGCATAGAACAAAGGTTTATACCATTCCTCATTGCAATGTTTGCAAATTCCTCAAGAAGCATTATCAGCAATTCCAAAGATTTCAAGCCCCATTCACAAAAAGACAAAAGATTTCGAGGGTTCATTTAACAACAAATATGCGCGTAATCCTCGGAATTTAAAGTTTCGAAGATGCGCCAATTGACACTCAGTTGTTCGGGCTGCACATGATGCTCGTGAAATTAAGTGTAATCATTAATTAAAATATGTATTGACATAAGAAGTGCAAATCAGCTACTAATTAACGCGTTACAAACAACGAGACGAAGTTCACCGTCTAATAGCGTCAGCTCTCGTAATAAACAACAAGGATACTGGCTGGTAAAGAACCATTTCTGTTAAAGGCTACATATCTAGTAACTAATCTAACAATTTGTTGTTAAGTGAGTGGTCAATAGAGTCAGAGCAAAGAAAGAGTGCAACACTTGCCACTGCGATCAGCGATCCTGCGGATTTCAGGCTCACTCGGAAGACGCCAGTAGGAAGATTCGCGTGCAGTTGCATAACAACACATCCGCGCGGAATCCTTGAACTCCCAGCTTCGGAGGAGCGGCCGATCCTACTCGCTTGATCTGGCTATTCGAACCTAAGTTAACAATCCCAACACTTCCTTACAATTTGCACCTACAAAAAATCTAATCGACGTTCGGTATACTCCTACCAAAACAAATTAAAAATCGCTAGCCGATATGATGAGCTATTTGTTTCTGGAAAGAACTCGTCTCTTCTACTTTACAAAATGCAGGTACACCGTATACAAGACATGGTACGGAACTTACCATTGCAGTTTTTCCAGGCCCCACTCGCAAGGAGTTACCGGCAGATTCATAAGTGCGGATTCATTTAACAACAACCGCGCGCGTGATCCTCGGAACTCCCAGCTTTGCAGTCGCGCGCATGCGGCTCAGCTGTTCTGGGTCGACGTCATACGTGCGACGGCTGCTACCGCGAAACGAGTTTTCTAGGAAGGCTCGCTTATTAGCGATTTGCGGCCAGCGCGGGGCGACGGAGCGGAGCGACCGAACCGGGGCGGGGCGGGGCGGGGCTGGGCAAAGCGGGGGTGGGCAGGGCCCCGGGGAGGGGCGGGGCGGGCGGGGCGGGGCGACTAGTTCGCGTTGACTCGCTCCATTGAAGCAGTAGGAGCAGCGGCTGCAGCCTCTTTCGACGGGGATTTCCATGCGGACCACAAAAGGGCGCTTTCGGACTTTTTTCGGGTAGGTCACCTTCAGCAGATGTTTAGTCACGGTGCACCTACTGGAAAAAAACGTGGCGTGCAAAAGCCGCCGGACGAAAGTTAAACTAGATGACACGATCAGGCTGAGCGAAGTTGAAATCGATTGAAACTGAAAGCGAGAGCTCCTATTTGAATGAGTTACACTTCGCAGTACAGGATTCACACTCATTCTCAATGTATTTCTTACGTAGCACAAATAATCAAGAAGAGAGAATTATGCTTATTTAATAGAACCCTATTTTTTGCAAGGAGTGAAGAATATTTGATGTCTTCCACACCGTGTAAAAGATTTCACTGCGAAGGTGAATTTTAGAAGGGTCAACGTCCTTTTCAACATTCCACCTTTCAATTGAGAATTAACATTCGTTTTCGTTATTTGTAATTGATCTTTGACGTTACCATTGGCAGCTAAAATAAATATTGAAAGGATATAAATACTTTACAGCACGTTTAAGCAGGTATGTAGTGTGTCCAATACGCACACATTTCCAATAATAACTATCTAAATTATGTTTTTCCGGAGAACTTTCGAAATAATGAAAGAATTACACTAATTTCACTAAAATGGCTACTTCATGAAAATGTAAACGTAAATGTTTAAATTATAAACAATTGCTGAATATTTATATTAATATAATTATTATTATTATTATTATTATTATTATTATTATTATTATTATTATTATTATTATTATTAAAGTGAGCGTAATGTATCCTTTATTTTTCACATTTTTTCTTTCATTTAATGAATGTGGCAACTGTAGAAATAAGCAAAACTCACTTGATACGAGTACTTAGTCAATATTTATTTTATTTCAACTTTTCTCATATTCCTTACAAAAAGAAGATTTGCAGTTTCTGAGGTGTATGGCCACGATGAGTTCGTCGACTTCAAATCAACTGTCGGGGGATGATTTCCCGTGAGGAAGAACAGCTCATTCAAAAAGCCGACAAACGAGTCATCGGAAGTCCACGGTCTTCTGTCCGTGGCCACCTATTGCGGCCGGGGCGCCGTCAAAGGGCGTGTGTGCATTTTTGCCGTTCCCGACGTCACTATCACGTGAACCGCACGCGAGGCCAAGCCGTGACAATTACATTGAAAATCCGGATCTACGTACCACCAGGGGAAATTTCTTTGCCACGCGCCGCATCGTGGGGCTGCAGGCGAAGCAGGAAGGGGCCCCGACGGTCCCGTTCAGGAAACTCACCACAACCCGAAAGGCTTGCGGTGCCGCGAAGCGTCCGTCAAGGTTTGACGCAGCCGTGACGTCACGGCACGAGGAGGGCAGCGCCGCCGCCGCCGCCGCCGCTGCCAGCGTCCGCCGAGGAGGGGAAAGTCCTAGACGCGGCGCGCGCTCGTATATAAACGTAGAGGTGAGCACTGACCTTTTCAGTCGAGGGTAGGCCCTCTAACGCTCGACGACCAGCCAGCCAGCACCACCTACTCCTCCTCACCCCGCCGAAATGCCGACCGCCGCAGAGACCACCACGCTGCCCCCGTCGCCCCTGGAAGGGCTGGGCGGGCTGAACGGGAAGCTGGACGCAGCGGCGGGCGCGACCTGCTGCGACGAAGCGAGCGCGGCGGCGTCCGTGCCGCCCCCGCAGGCGGCGGCGGCGGCGGCGGCGGCGTCTGTGCGGGCGGCCAGCGCTCGCCGCCCGCCGTGGTTCGCCAGCCTGCCCGACCCCGCGCGCCACCAGGACTTCTTCCGGGAGGCGCTGGAGGTGCTGGTGCAGCAGGCCGTCTTCCAGGGCACCGCCCGGGACAGCAAGGTGCTGGAGTGGCGGTCGCCGGAACAGATGGGCGCCCTCGTCGACCTGCAGGTGCGCGACGCGCCAGTCGACCACGACCAGCTCATCCAGTACGTCAAGGACATCATCAAGTACAGCGTGAAGACGGGCCACCCTTACTTCGTCAATCAGCTCTTCTCCAGGTACGACTGCTTCGAATTCTTGAATACGAGACAAAGTAAACGCGAATAAGTTTTTTTGGCTGAGGTTATGCACATGACTCGCAAAGCGGAGAAATTTAAAGGGGTGGAAAAACATTAAATTCCAACAATTATTTTTAAGTGTAGTCACGCGGCTCGGTAACGATTTGTTCTCATTATAGTTCTACATGTCAATTTTCTACATGATAGGGTGCAATGGGAAACATAAAAACCTCTTGTCGTCAATTACTCGAACGAGAAGGGGAGAAAGCAACAAAAACGAAACGTGCCACCTATCCGAAAGACTGGTTGCGGTTAACGGTTTCCGAAATGTCCAAACAATTTGGAATATAGAACAAGTGTCGCAGTTAAAGGTCCTTTATTCGTATTAACGCCACTTCAGATTCGCGCGCGCGTATTTACAATTGCTACACCCTGAGCGGTGTCCGTTCCAGAGATTGTCATTGCGAGTGCTGGCCAAGGACGCAACAAATGGAAACCACCTGCCGCATTTCTTAATGTAATTTAGAGGTCTCCGGAGCTCGGCGCGACACACTTCTGGCCACGAAAGTAAAAGCTGCGGAAACGGCGCGAGCCTTGACCAGCGGCGCGCGAAGCCGCAACGCCGCCTCCGCTGCAGGCGCCGCCCCCCCCCCCGCGCGGGATGTAGGCTCCATCGAGATGGGTCACGGCAATGATTGTATTGTCTACCAACGCTTTCGAACGCCCCCCCCCGCCCCCCCCTCCCGCCCCTGAATAGGCTTCGACATTTCTGGTGCATGCTGTGTTTTCTGTGCATGTGCGATAGACAGGGCTAAGACGTTAATTGCTTTAAAATCAGTTTTAAATTACATTGAATTCTGGCATGCACATGAAGCCATTTTTTTGAACTGAAAATACAAAAACGCCAAAAACAAGATATACGCATTTCTTCTTTGGAACACGCATTAAAGAGACATAATCCGTACTCCTCCTCAGGTTACTCGTCATACGAATCGGAGATACATTGCTTCAAAAATTATTTGTTTGCCGCCTTGCAAAAACAATCGTAAAATGACGTTACGATAAACTGATGTTTCACAGCTCAGAATAAGTGTAACCTGCATGTGTCCGTCCGTCCGTCTTTTTGATGATTACGATAGACTAATCGAACAGAAGAAACACTATGCAGCAGAAAATATTTTCTTTTATATTTAAACCTGGGTATCGATTTTCATTGTTTAATATCATCAGGCAATAATAGCTACCCAATTCGTTCCGGTCCCTCCTGGCCTTCCCGTGTCACCGTACCTCAGAGGCCGCTCTCTCTCTCCCTAGCTTGCCCCGTTCCACCATGTCTTGTTAGCCAATGCATTACGTGTGGGTGGCATACTTTCTTCTATTACTGTATGCCGTTGATTTTGAGTTTTTTTAAATGGTTATAACTCAGTCATTTATAAATGTTATAGCTTGGAGTTATACACCAAAACCTACTTGGGTAAACGGTTCAAACAAGGGTGAAGACCACAGACATCTACTCGGTAGTTCTTGTGTGCTTGGCGGACAAAAAATAAACAGCGGGAACGAGGACTGTTTCTCCTACCTCGATATGATGAAAATAATGATACCTGATACTTAACATTTAATAGGAAAATGTAATGTGATACTACGACCTACCAGCGCAACAGACAACTGCGTTGCAATTCGATTCCCAATGAAATCACTCTTTCCTTGGAGTGTTCGATCCCTTTTGGCGGATAAAAGGGTCTAGAGCCAGGATTTTTCACGGCTTTTTAAGAATTGATTGGACATATTTAGTGAAAGAAATTCGAAATGCCTTGTCTTTGAACATGACACATACATTCTGATTATTAATTTCAACTTAAATTCGCCCTAAACGCAACAATAAAAACAAGGACTTCCGTCCGTCCGTCCGTCGCCGTTGGTGGCAGGCGAAGTTCCGTTCGAAGCCTCTGTCTGCTGGCGGAGAATTAGGCTCTTTTGTTCCCTTTGAATAAAAATCCTCAAAATAATGGACATGAATATACCGTTTAAACTCTTTGAAGCGTCAGAGACACAGGGAGAGTTAAACAATGTTTGAGAGATGCGGGATATTAACGAAATCCATTCAATTTATATTAATTTTTTAAGCTAATTGATGCAAATTATTTGACTATAACAATTTTCAAATTTCTTTTATTCTTTCACTTGATTTCTGAAAAATTGCGCCGCCTATACAAGAGATTCTTCAAGCTGCACTGTGTAGAATTTAAAACGTGAGACAGTAAAGATTGTTGGATTAGGTCTCTGTCTTCTCATCATAAATGTTGGTCGCTTTCAGATTCTAAGATTAGTTTGTTTTGACTCGCGAATGAAGGAGCGACAGTGAAATTTCACTATCGCTGGTTCCGGTTGGGAGAAACGGATGGGAGCCTTCACTCCACTCAATAAACAGGTGCAGAGAAATGTTCGCAAACGCCACCGACTGAAATAGAACGAAACGTAACGGGAAAACCTACGTCAAAAGTAGAAATTGACATTTGTAATCTGTAAAGCCACATCATAAAAAGTACAAATTTTCAGATGTTGGAAATAATAAATGTAATTGACTGATGATGAGAAATCTTTTGTCGTATAGAACTTTCTTGACGTATAGAAATTAAGCAAAATATATTTTTTGATACCAGACCTCTTTAATTTACCATATTTAATTATTAGGAAGTATCCACCTCACCAGCGATCTAATTAACGTGTAGAAATCTTAAAACTGTAATATAGAAACCTGTCTATTTGGCAAGATGGTAATAACACATTGTATTTTTAATCATACAAATTTCTAAAGGCGTTGATAGCGAGATTACGTTAGAGTAGATCTCCCAGTTACAAGGAGAGTTACTTAACGAGCACTTGCAAGAACACTTGTTTGACATTAGTCTTTGCTGGGCAGTATCAAAGCCCAATCTGAAATGCGCGACCCGTGCCGGGAAGATCGCGGGGGCGGGGGCGGACGGCCGTGAGGGGGAGGGGGTGCAGGGGGACCATAAGGAAGGCAAGAGGTGAGGACACGCGGAGGTCGGTGGCGCAGCCCGGCACGAGGCAGGGTCGCGCCCCGGGCACTACATAACAAGGTCCCCCTCCACCCCCTTCACCGTGCGAAAAGTCAATGACACTCGCGTTTGGCTTGCAGCTCCCAAATACTCAGTGTCATGGTCGATCACAGGAAACGACTACGCACGCATAGTCGTTACAAATGTGCAAACTGCAATCTTACCAAATACGCCTGCTATCTATCAAAAGCTCGAAGACTTCGTAGGAGAAACACCGGTCTGGAAGTCATAAAGTGGATGCCAATATGACGAAATTTGACTTTCGTCGCGCGAGAAGTTACAAATCAAGAGTTTTAAAGTACTGATAATGGCCAAGAATCGATTAGCTTTCTCTCATTGCATATACTACTAAAACTCGCTATATTCTCTCCTTTCTTGTAAGCTAGACACGCGGAAAACGATTTTAAAATGAATTTGGCATTTATCGCTATTTCCTTCTAAAAAAAGCGCTTATCGCAAAAATATTGAAATCCCGAGTCCCGACAATTAAGAATCACGAACACAATTTAATTTTTTTAAAAAGATATCGCTTTTGCCGTTTATACGAAAAATCATCTCTGAGGATACTGTTTAGCATTTTCCGCTCTATAGGACACGACATTTTTGTTTATGATTGATTGTGCATAAAACTCGAGTGTTAAGCGACTAATAGCGAGAGGGCGAGGAACGCTAAGATCTCTGGCTTACTTTCCGCAGCGTGATGTGGACAGTTGTAGAAGGGCCGCTTTGTCGCTTTCAGTGTGGACCCGTACGGGCTGGTGGGCCAGTGGCTGGGCGACGCGCTCAACCCGAGCGTGTACACGTACGAGGTGTCGCCGGTGTTCACGCTCATGGAGGAGACGGTGCTGCGCCAAATGCGGCGAATCGTTGGCTTCGCCGACGGCCGCGGGGACGGCATCTTCTGCCCCGGAGGCTCCATCGCCAACGGCTACGCCATCAGCTGCGCGCGCTTCCACGCCGCGCCCCATGTCAAGGTGAGCCCTGCAGCTTTGCCTTCTCGTTAAAGAAGAGACCGATTTGTTATTATATTGTATATCATTTTGTAGCGTATATATGGTTCCATGTAATATTAATGTTGAAATAATTAACAAACGAAAACTCCTTTTGGGGGAGGGGGCATGCCCCTATGTACCCTCCCCCCTGCATTCGCCACCCCATTCGAAAAGGGTCAAAATTTACTTGACAGCTATGAGAAAAGATTGTATTTTACAAGTGTACCCTTACTAAGTACACTTATTTTTCGAATCACTTTGGCACTTTGCAGATTGTTCAAAATTTCCTTCGTTTCAGACAAAAGGTCTGCATGGCTTACCTCGAATGGTCCTCTTCACTTCTGAAGATGCTCATTACTCGATCAAGAAACTTGCATCATTTTTGGGTCTGGGGTCAGATAACGTCTTGATGGTGAAATGTGATTCGAATGGAAAAATGGATTCTGTCCATTTGGAGCAACTGGTACTCCAAGCTCAGGAAGAAGGGGCTTTGCCATTCATGGTGTCTGCAACAGCAGGTATGGACAATCTATCACACTACATTTTTATTAATCTTCATGTTCAGTTTTTCCACTTTTCTTGCATGCATTAAAATTGTATTCAAATGTAAAATAAAAAGTTAAAAATACCCTTTCTTAAAGCAGACAATATTTGTTATTTCTGTACTTCCATTTACAGGAACAACTGTCATAGGGGCTTTCGATCCTATACCAGCAATTGCTGACATCTGCAAAAAGTATAACATGTGGTTACATGTAGATGCTGCATGGGGAGGAGGTGCTCTGATGTCTCGAAAATACAAGCATCTCCTAGAAGGAATTGAAAGGTACATAAAAATTTGGATTATCTCTGATTGTTTACACTCTATTCACTGTCAAGATTTCTAAAACTCTTGTCCTACTTAAAGACTTTTTTGGTTTACTATCAGTAGCATCAGGGATGAATCCAGAGACAAATTTTGGGAGAGAAATTAAAGATGTTTTGGTTAAATGTCTTATTACAGATTTTGTAAAATGTCACTCAGCTCCTGCTGTTATGATTTTTATTAGTTTTAATGATTGAATAAAAATGCTTGAAAATTTCATGACAAGTTAAAATAATGTTACTAAAAATTTTAGGGGGAAAATCTCCCTGACTTCCCTCCCTATGGATCTACACCTCGTTGTATTCTGGTGTAATGGTGATTTGTAATCTAAGTTTATAGTATTAGATTTAGGGGCCTTCTGCATTATGTAAAAATCATCAGTTTTTTTTAAAACATTTTGAAAATATAATAGGCCCTATTCTTGTATTGAAATTAATTTTTAATCAATAGGTTCGATCAATTTCATAAAGATTAAATATATTGAAATAAGAACTTAAGAATTTTGTTAAGACATTTACTTACAATTGACATGCTAAAAGTTAGGAATTCTTATTTTTGTAAGTGTTCAAATCATTACTGAACTGTTGCAGAGCTGATTCTGTCACCTGGAATCCACACAAGCTTCTGACTGCTCCTCAACAGTGTTCAACATTTTTGACAAAACATGAGACTGTACTTTCTGCTTGCCACTCTGCCAGTGCTCAATACCTTTTCCAAAAGGACAAATTCTATGACACTCAGTATGACACTGGGGACAAGCATATTCAATGTGGCCGCCGTGCTGACGTTCTAAAATTCTGGTTCATGTGGAAAGCTAAAGTAAGTTTCCAATAACAAATTACAAAAATCTGTTTGATTGCTGACTAACCTAAGGGCAAGATTTCCAAAAGTAATATGATTTTTCAGGGCACATTAGGACTTGAGCAACACATTGACACGGTGTTTGACAATGCTGAGTATTTCACCCAGCAGATTAAGAAGACAGAAGGCTTTAGGTTATTGATGGAGCCACAATGTACCAATATCTGTTTTTGGTACATTCCTCCCAGTTTGAGAGGGCAGGAAGACAGAGAGGATTTTAATGACCTTTTACACAAGGTATTTATATTTTAGTTAGCATAAAGTTGTATAAATAATGATTACCTAACTATATTTTTAGTAATAATTAATATTTTCCAGGTTGCACCAAAAATTAAGGAACGCATGATGAAGACTGGTTCGATGATGGTTACCTACCAGCCTCTTCGTGGACTGCCAAATTTCTTTCGGTTGGTGCTCCAAAATTCTGGACTTAATCATGACGACATGGATTTTATCATTCAAGAAATACAAAATCTTGGCAGAGATCTGTAATTTTAATGTGAATTGTTGTAAAGTTATTCGTGTGATTGTGAGTGTATATAACATTTCAGTATTAAACTTTAACTCGTGCTCCATACTTTAAAAATAAGGTTAATAGTGGATAAAAAATATTGGCAGCGGTGGGATTCGAACCCACGCCTCCGAAGAGACTGGTGCCTTAAACCAGCGCCTTAGACCGCTCGGCCACGCTACCACGCAAAGTTGAGTCATAACATATGATCTTTGTGGTAGCCATATTCTTTGTATATTAGAAACTTCGATTTTTACTATAATAAAAGCGTATAATTTTGTTCAATATGGAATTTTATTACCATTTTACTTCCTCCCACTTGTGACCTTATTTCTGGTTTCTTAAGGGGTCGCTGACATTTCAATCAATGATACTGACAGGGAAGAAAAACTTATTGATTGGATCAGGGTAAGGTAAAACAAAAATCTTAAGTAATAGGCAGAGTATTTACTTTCCAGAATGTTAACTTTTTTGGAATACAACATAGGCTAAGTGAAGATCTACGACTAAATCCAACATTGTCGAGCTTCCATCTGCAAATCAGGGGAATTTATTGGAGGTTCTTGGTTTTGCCACAATATACGGAGGATTAAAATGTATTTAAACATTATTAAATATCTAGCATGAACTTTGCGAGATTATATTGTTTACAAACAAATTATAATAAAGTAGTAGCACTTAAATCGGTGGCACTTAAATTGGTAGCACTTTGGTTATTTTTGTTACATTCGAGCACGAAGAGAAAATCACATGTGTACATAAGTCTGCATCGTCACATCCATGAATTAAAAAAAACAACAGTTAATTGCTAGTGTATTGTAATAATAGCTGCTGTTGACGTATTCAAAAGAATATTATTTTCAAAGGGAAAACACAGGGAAAGTGGGTACACACTTGCGGAAAGGAAATTAATACGTGGGCCTATATGAACATAATAGATCATTTTTCATTTGGATTCAGTAAGGAACTCGACTTTTGTCAGAGTAAAAACTAAATTTACTCCCCTGAAGTAAGTCGAGGGAGTGAATGTGGAATTGAAATATTGGCCGTACCAGAGTTTATAACCCACTCCCATCATGAATTGGACGAAAATCTAACGGGAGGTGGAAACGTACTGGAGAATCTGCAGTGGAGATAGGGGAACAGAGCACCACTTCACTTCAACTGATCTCTACTAATTTATCTAAAAACAAAGTTTGTTAAAAAGCTCAACAAAATTATTTTTAATGTGCGCAATTAAGCGTGTGACCTTTTGGATCAAGATGATATGTTACTCTGTGAGTATAGAGAACATTCGTTCAGTGATGCCACTTCATGAAAATTTACGGAAAAAGTAAAGTAAATGTATGTAAATACACAATCGTACTCGAATTTCCCAGGAATTTAATTATTCAGCTCTATTTCATCAATAATCTGCAAGAAGCTTCTTTGAGTCATTGATCAGTTGCAGCGGATGCAGCAAACAAGGCGCGTTCGATACGAATATCGACTGTGAAAGTTGTTCAGCCAGACGCGGACAGCCGTTGCCAGGCCGTTGCGAAGTTGATGGAACGGGAGTAGAACGGGAGGAAGAATCTTCTGAACTAATACGTTATTGTTTGTCAGTAACTTCGCAGTTGTTTCTGTTTGACCTAAAACGTTCCTATAGAAACAGCGAAAGCTTTATGACGGCAAACTGCCTGTGAAGACGCATTGACTTCGTGAGTGAAACTTCAACAAGATCTTGTGTTGTGAGTGAATACTGTGTGCAACCAAGTGACCCCATGTTCAGAAAATGGCGTACTGAAAATTTTTCTTCCCATTTTTGAGATTGATGGAGAATTATTACAGCTTGAACTGAGAATAGTGAAACTTGTGTGTTCAGTTTGTAGTTCATGTTTAAGTGAAAAAATTGAATATGGGAGATAAATGTCAAAATCCACAAATGCCCAGCCCGTGGCAGTATCCTCCACCGTACGGAGTGTATCCGCCATATCCTGGGTAAGTTTTAATGTTCAATGTTCGTGCAAATGAAGATGAGAGAAACATTGTAATGATGTTATTGTATTTTTCTTAAAGGCAACCATACGGCCACCCAGGGTACAGTTATTTGCCGCATTACTATTATAACTCGGTAAGAAAGAATAACTTTGCTTGCCCGTAGTATTTAGGTATTTCGTTGATTGAAGTGTAATATAACTATGAATTAATGTTTCTAGGGAATGGCTTTTAATCATAATCCTGGCCAGACTCAGAATATGCAGCATAATCAAAATAACCCTATTGGACAAGCCCCTCAAAATATGAATCAAAATATTATGAATAAATCATTTCAGTCTGGTATGTTGGTATCCAAAGTATTGTTTTTAGTGTAATATTTTTAGTAAGGAACTTACACCTTCACTCATTTCAGATTATGGGCAGCAAAATTCTAACAGCTCAAACAACCAATCTGACTCGTGTGACAAAACAACTGACAATGAAATGCCTCCTCTCCCACCAGGACCACCTCCACCTTTGAATAATCATAGTTATCAAACTCCTCCTCCTCCAGGAACAGCGCCAATTGTAAGGAACCCATTCTACGGACAACCATCTAATGCACGTGAGTATCAATAATGTTGTATAAAAATTGAATTTTTGTATAAATGTATTCATTGTTGATCATTTTTTCTAGCATATGGTCCTATAAAATTTAATCTTCCAATGAAGAAAGCAGGACTTGGATTTCATGTGAAACCATTTAATAATATGGGTGTTTGTGTGGGTGGCAATGGCAACAATAATATGGGTGCAGGTGGTGGCAATGGCCAAAATGGTAATGGAGGTGGAGGAAAGAAGAAGCGAAAGAAAAATAAGAACAATGCTAATAATAATCAGTTTAATAACAGTTTCAGCAATAGCCCTACCCCAATTCCTAATAATGTTATGTTCATGAATCCTCCCCCACTACCTCCAAAGGAAGAGCCAGTCTTTCCTCCTCTGCCACCTCTACCAGCTGAACCGTGCCCTGAACCTCCAAATGATGCAGATGATAAAATGGAGATCTCTTCAAATAAAAGTTCTGAAGGAGTCCCAGAAAAGTCTTTTTCATCAGCACCAACTCTTGAGGAACGGCCATCAATAAACAATGCAGAAAGTTTAGTTGTAACTACACCCACTGGGCAACTCACTGATGCAAGTGATTGGCCTGATAGTCTGAAGTAAGTAGTCATTGTGTGTTTGCTCATTGAAAAAAATTTCTATTGTTATAATCACCAAATGTTATTCTCAGATAAACGCTTACTTTTCAACATATTATTTTGTTCATTGACTTTCACACACCATTAAGGATGTTTCTTTAACTTCCATTCCGCAGACAAGTAATGTCAAGAAATGTTTAAATTGTATTTTATTTGTGGCATAATATTTGTATTAAATACTAAATAATTATCTTCAATAATGTTACAGTAACAGATTTTTTTTGCAATATTTCCTTTTAAGAAATCTTGACTGTACATTGAAACGAGTCCATTGGGTGTTCTGGGGGGTATTGGTAATGCTGCCGTTCTAGTGTTAATGGCACAATTAAAAATTTTACCCAGTTATTGTCCATTTGATACAGCTTTTAATGAAGCAAAATATCAATTTTATATCAATACACAATGATTTAGATTTTATGCACTCTTATTTTCATTATTACGTTCCAAACATTACCTTGGAACCAGATACCTTACCTTTCTCTTAAATTTTCCAACTAATCCTGGTTGCTTTATTTCCCGCCACATGATTATTCGAATGGGTGTGTATTGGGTGTAATTCTTCTATTGCCTGTATGTTTGCTTCTATGTTGGGCCATGTGATTGTCTTAGCGTAAACAATCAAGATGGCTGCTTTGCTATGTAATGTCTCTGTGCATGTCGTAATTCGTCATTTGCATTTGTAAGGTCAATCAGGAAAAGAAATTCACAAGGAAATGGTGAAAGTGTACGGAGATAATGCTCCAGCATATGAGACAATGAAGCAGTGGGAAAGGTTGTTTCAGTATGGGCCGAAAGAGCTGTAAGACTCATCAAGAAGACCATCTTTGATGGAGGAACCATGGATCATCCAACTGGTGGATATCCATTCAAACAATTGCTAGATGGGTTAACATTAGCCAAGGATCGGTGTACAACATCTTGCATGGTGCACTGCACATGACAAAAGTGTTAGCCAGAATCCCGTGCTCAGGGAGCAGCGTGTGCGCCATCCTTGGGGTAATGTTGCAAATGTGCAGAGACAAAGACAAGTTTTTCAGCCGTCTTATCACAATAGACGAATGCGAAGTTCACCATTACAACCCAGAAACAAAAGAAATGAATAAACAATGGAAACGCGCAGAGGCACCTCCACCAGGAAAGCAGACTCAATCCTTGTCTACGAAGGTGATTTTTGGGTTTTTGGGATTGTCATGGTGTCATCCTAACAGATTATGCCAGAGGTCAGACTAATACTTCGCAGTATTATCAAGAACTATTGGCAAAATGCGTGGAGAGATGAAGTGGAAAAGGTGGGGAATGATTCCAAGAGTTGTGAGACTGCTGCATGACAATGCCCCTGCTCAAACCACTTAAGCAACTGTTGCCCATTGTTCTCACCTACACTATGAAACTCTACCACATCTGCCTTATTTGCCAGATTTGGCACAGTTTCCTCTTTCTTTTTATTTATTTTCTTCAAAAACATAAAAACTGTGTGTGACATGCTATGGGGAGAAGTTAATTTGAAGTTACATTTATGTCCAGAAGCAAAACAAAGGACCAGACTCGCTCTAGTATCAGGAAAACTGGACGAAAACCTAATCGAGAAGGGGTCATTGACCCAGAAGCTGAAGTACAATACTTGTTACAGGTTCTTTACAATTATACAATCCAAATGGTAAAATACATTAAATGCCATTGTTAAAATTAATATTACTTTCTTTTTGGATGCTCAGTATAATCTCTATTTGTATAGAAACAGTTGTGCAGCAGAAAATTTTACTTGGGACTTAAACTTTTGTATCGAATTTAATCGTTCAATGTCATCTGGCAAGTTGATGTAAAATAATGTACATGTATTATATGTGAATTTTTGAAGTGAGCTGTTAATACTGTCACCTGATGACCATGATTACTACGTGGAGTGTTGTAGTTATAGACAATGGCATTTGGTGGAAATATATCCGCACTCTTAAGTAAGTCATTTTGGAAAAAACACTGATTCATATATGAAGAGACAAGGTAATGGTAAAATACCTAGAAGAATAAAGAGAGACTTACATGAATCACATGGGTGGGATTTACTTATTATTTGTACAATTTGTTTTTGTAATCTAAAAGTCTGGGAACTCTAAGATGTATTTCCCCAGAATATTATGCCATATCTCAGGTGGGAATGAACATTCCTGAAATACGCACAGCGAGCAGTGTGGAGGCTGACTGAATTTGAAGGAATTCTGAAAGCGTAGCATAAAGAACTTAGTTTAGTGTTCAATTCATTTAAATGGACGTTCCATTTAAGGTTTGACTGAATCGAAAGACCTAAAAATTGTGTTACCTTAACATCAGTCAATGGCACACCATTCGTTTTCAGTGAAGTACGGAGCTGTTTATTTGAAATGGAAAACTGCATTGAAACAGTTTTATTTTCATTTACTATTAATTGTTTTTTATGGAACCAATTTGAAATCTCTGCTATTGTACTATTTACAGTTTTTTTTATTGCAAAGAATATTCATATCATCCGCGAAGAGAACTGTTCTCCAATTTCTAATCCTCCAGGGTTATCGTTTACGTTCAGTAGGAAGAGAATGGGACCTAAAATCGATTCCCTGTAGGACTCCACATGCAATTGGTTAAGAATTAGAAAGGTGTGTACATAATGATCCATTATTCCAGTAAGGTATTTGTACTCTCTGAGATCATTGTTTAAGGTACGAACATAACCACTCTAGAGCAACTCCACGTATTCCAACAAAAGCAGAAAATATAGTTTCCTAACTAAACTACTTTCTTATCAGACCTGACTGCACTAGAGCTCATATTGCTAAACAGTGAAACAAATTTAAACACTTGTTTACATCAGGCAAAGAGCTAAAGGACGATTAAGTTCTCTATAGAGAATAGAGCATGAACAAACAAGATAATTGATGTGTATTTGCAGAAATTACGTCAACCGCTGCTATGCAAAATGTGTGGAAGCAGTGGATAAAGACAGAGTGGAAATAATTCTTAAAGGAAAAATAACTCGGGCTGCTAGTGATGGTTCACTTTGGCACAAAAACTGGGATAATGAACCCCTACCAAGGTACATATTTTTAAAACCTCTACACACTGAAATACAAAAAAAGTTGCATATGTATATTAATTGTTCTACTTTTCAGTTTACATAATGAAAGGAAATTTGAACCTAAGAAAATTTTTCAACCAGCTAACTTGGATAACTTAGGCCAAAGGCAGTCTCCGGCTAAACAGAGTCCAATACGTCCCAAAAAATCTGGTATATCTGCTGCTCTGGGATCTCGATTAGGAGGGAGAGCATACAGAGTGCCAAGGCGATCAAGGTCCAGGTCGCGATCCCGATCTAGATCACGCTCTCGATCACATTCCCCTGTTAGTAAAGGAAGAAGACGAAGCCGCTCAAGATCGTGGTCTCGATCCAGGTCACGATCAAGTTCAAGAGACCGCTCTAGGAGCCCTGCAAGACGGAGACGTACAAGGAGGTAAGAAATATTCTCTAAACGACAATGAATTACTGAAAAGTGCTTTCCTTATTTGCAACTCTATTGATTTTTCAGTGACAGTTCTTCAAGTAGTGACGATAACTTTAAGTCATTAAGAGTTAATAAGCGACTTGGCCGGAATGGTGACAGATTGTCAAATAAAGGAAGAAATAACAACAAAATGAAAGGGAAAAATAAACAGAACAGCAGCAATAAAATGTGAGTTTCTATGTATGGTGTGGTGTATAAAGTATACTGTATTTGTTAAGAGGTGAATGTGCATATGATAAGTAAATGTCTATTAATTGGTTTACACATTGCTTTTACAGCAAGTCTCATTTTTATTCTGAGTATGGAATACTAGGAGGGGTCACTGAAGATTTAGGGAGTTCAGAGAGGTTACAACAGAGAGCAGCCCGTTTTAATTCTAGTCTTAAGAGTAGTCCTAACACTAACAGTCCAATGCCTGTTGTTAGGAGAAAGAAGCCGTTGAGTTTTATTGCCAGCATGAATAATATGGTTGTGATGGAAGATACGAATGGTGAAGGTGACTGGGCAGATCTACACATTGTTGGTACCTGCCAAGATATAGAGAAGCCGTATCTCAGGTTAACATCGGTAAGGATCATTTATTTGTTTTACACTTGTACCACAATCTCTTATTTTCTTGTTATTTAATACTCGTGAACATTGAAATAAAGATATATTTTCACATTGTTTGGATTGTATTTCACAGGCTCCAGAAGCATCTGCTGTACGACCCATTGAAGTACTTAAAGTCGCTCTTCAGAAAGTGCAGGAGAAATGGAGTCAAAGTCAAGATTACAGATATGTTTGTGATCAGCTAAAGTCAATCCGTCAAGATTTAACGGTCAGTAGCAGAAGCAATTCTGTATTATAAAAATGGTTGAATTGTGCTCATTTAATTCTGTTCTTGATGTTAAATGTTAATTGTTTATTCTTTACAGGTCCAGGGTATTCGTGACAAGTTCACAGTGCAAGTGTATGAAAGTCATGCTAGAATAGCACTAGAAAAAGGAGATCACGAAGAGTTCAACCAGTGCCAAACTCAATTAAAAATGTTATATTCTGAAGTTGGAGGCAACAATAAACTTGAATTTACTGCATACAGAATACTGTACTATATATTTACCAAAAACACATTGGGTAAGTTTCAATGGATGTATTCAGTTCGTTGTTCATAATTTCTCTGAAGTTGTTTTTTTAAATACACACACCGTAATTCTAATTGGGTATTTCTTAACTTTTCTTCTTACAATTAGTAATCAGGACAGTTACTAATTGCAAGTTCAGTTCCGCTTACATTAGGGAGTTTTAGCACCAAGCACACTGACTTAAGCTTACCTTCATGACCTTGTACCTAATGGCCTCATACCTTCATAAAGGGGGCATGTAGGGGTGTCAAAGATTACCTTACAAACAGGAAAAATTACAATTTTCCAACTGTGATAGACTTATTCTTTTACGTCATATATTTTACAATTAATTCTAACTAACATTCACAACTCTAGCAAGAATTAACTGAAAATGTTGAAAAGGTGGCAGGTATGAAATTCGTGAAATACGTTGCTCATATCTTCATGTTTTGTTATGTCTTACGTTCATAACAAAAACAGTTATTACATATTCCCTACTTTCTCAAGAAAATCCTAGACTCTCACTTATTGTGCAGGGGCAGAAAATCTATAACTTCTTGTACAATGAAGATTTGTTTACTTTTGACTCCTATTGGGGAATGTAGTTTCGGGAACAGAAATTGTTTTATGACTAAATGTTTTATCTGAAACTGAAACCAAACGTTTGGTTTGATGTCCTAGTTACAAGAAATTGAATGTCAAACTGTCACTAAAAGATACATATTTGTTGCAGATTTAACAACAATTTTGTCTTCCTTGACAATGGAAGATAAAGCAGATGAATGTGTGTCTCATGCTTTAGAAGTGCGTTCAGCATGGTGGTTAGGAAATTACCATAAATTTTTTAAATTATTTAGACAGGCCCCAAGAATGGGGGGATACTTAATAGAATGGTTCATAGAACGTGAACGTAAAGCTGCTTTAAAATGTATGATCAAAAGGTATGTGGGATTCTAATTAGTAAATTAATTTTTTATAGCATTATTGAAGACCTTTACAAATGTAAGTTGATTTCTAATAGCTTGTGGGAAATTAAAAAAATTCTTCATAAGAGCTGATTTAGAAAATGATTAGAGTAATAATGCTTTGGTTTTTAATAATTCACAATGAATAATGATTTTTTCAGGTTTGCAAATTTTCAGGTATGATATATATATGTATGTTAACATTAATGATTCGTTATTTTTTCAGAGAATATTCCCAACAAGATGGAGTTTATTTAACTTGTTATGTTGTTTATTGTCTCAGCTACCGCCCGTTTATCCCCGCGAGTTTGGTGATGCAGGAATTGGCTTTTGATTCTGATGAGAAGTGCTTAGAATTTCTGGCTCCCTTTGGGCTTACTTTTATGGATGCAGAAAGGACCAAGATAGATTGCAAAGCAAGCGTTGCAAGCATCAACAGCGTATGAATGTTCTGGGTTTTTCTACAGTCTTCAGGGATAAGTAATGCAGAATGAAGAAAATTACCTAAGGTGTGGAAATGGCATCTTCAGAATTGGGAAGGTTTTTGTTTTTGTCTGAAGTGGGTGTGTACAACTGCCAGATTTCTTCAAAATTTGTCAAATAAAAATTACGTTATGCTTCCTGTTACCGAGATTGGTATCAACGATGGATTACTGCTGTAGAAATTTCCTGAATTATATGAAACCTGAAAACATATAGTTTTCCAGAGAATAAAAAAGTTGAAGATCAGAAAAAGTATTTATCGTACTGTTTATTTATATAGTTGGGAATTGCAGATAGCAACAAAAAAAAGTATTCCATTCAGATATCAAAATTTGGATTTTGGGTCTTGAAACAGCAACACAATAAACAGATGAATCTGTTACTCTGTATCTTTTGTTTCTGGAAGAGTTGATTGCTGCATACCAGATAAATATCTTGAAACTGAAGAAACATTAATTTTATTACAAGAGTATACATTGGATATCAAGAAGTAACAACACAAACTAATTTTATTACAAGAGTATACATTGGATATCAAGAAGTAACAACACAAACTAAAGGATTTCTTTTGGCACTGAGAGGCAATACTCTTGTCAAATAAGAGAGCATTTATTGATGGAATAGATGGAAAGAGAGATCACTGAAAAAAATAATAATTAAAATGATTTAATAGAATCTACTGCTAAGTTGATACAAAGAGGCTGTATGAAATGTATGTGGAAACTGATATGTTTTGAACAAACATGTATATAATTGGAACCGGAACCAGCATGGAAAATAATGTATTAGGAGATATGAAGAGGCTGTCCATCAACACACTAAATGATCAAGATAATGGTTATTAATTAACAGCTTTAAGAAAGATAAGTTATCTATGGTATGAAGTTCTGGAGGGAGGGATATTGCTTCTTTTTCAGATTTAATTACTAAAAGAATTTGAATATTTACTTGTCCACAAGAAATATTTCTGAACAAGAGACTTGGAAGTAAGCAGACATGTCATAATTACCTGGATCATTCATTTCATCCAATATTCTTAATTTGGTGATCTTACCTTAAGAAATTATGTAGAAAAAGCATTGTTTGGGCTAAATTTCAATCACATTAGATGACCCATCTGTGATGTCAGAAATTATTATAAATATACCATTAATACAATTAATGGATATCTGCAACCATAAATGATTAATAAACTTCAAGAGAAAGCTTTACGTCAATCTGCATCATCTGAAAATTGCAATGGAATTGTTCACTGAATGTTGCAGGTTAATACCCCTCACCTATTCACATTCATTTTAAAAATAGTCCTTTCAACAAATGAATTCCACCACCCATACCTCAGAATATTTCCCTTATGTCCCTGTTCATCCAAGATTTCAGTAACTTGCATATTTCAGTTCGATGCTGGAGTCAGCTGTGAAGAAAGAAAAGGATCTCAAGATGCATGAAGCCTGTGATGTGTGCCCATAGACATTGCACTTTGTATATTATCATTTGTGTAAAATGACTTGTGTAAAAAGTGTAGGTTATTTTCAAGAATAGGGATCTTGAAAAAGGGGTGTAAATATTACAAGTGTAGAGGTTCATCAAGCAAGAAGAAATTTGGAATATCTATAAATGGTATGAATCGAAAATGAAGAGGAAACCAAGCTTTTGGACTTTCGAGGAAGTGATTCACCTGTGGTTCTTCTCTCCGTGGTCTATAAGTCGAGATAGGGATGTAATGTTTAGGGATGGTAGGGAAGGTGGGTCTAAATTGAAATAGCAGAATATGGTTCATTGTTTTCCCCTTCATTGTTGGTCTTTCTTCTTTTTCAACTTTGAGTAGTCGTCATAGGTAGGGTAATTTTTATAATCAGATTTTTACAGCAGTTCTACTCCGCAGCTAAAATGGAGTTTGTTCCTGAATGGTTCATGACCCAGCAGCATGATTGACCTGATACAACACTGCCAAGTTTTTTTTTTTTTTCTACAGCAAGATAATTTAATTCTGAAGTTTTTCCTTTACATTTCTTTTTAAATTTAACTCTGCATTACTTCACGATTATCCCTTTCCTATTAATCCTTTTCCTTTCTTTTTTTATTTTTGGTTTCCAGTGTGTAATTGTATAGATAATTAGAACCAAATGATTTGAAACATTCCTTGTTGATGACCATGACTTGGTTAGCAACGATATTATAAAATGCATGGAAAATGTTTCGATGAAAAACATTTCCCATCCATTTTATGATTTCTTTGCAGTCCAAAAGAATTTTGGATTGACAAATATTTGTACTTCTCAAGTACAAAAGTCATGCTACTCGAATCATGGTTTTTTAAATGTATATATTGTACATAAATGAAAATAGTGTTATTTTGTTACAAAATCCAATGATTGAAAACTTGTTTTGTACAGTAATCATTTATTCAATACATGTATCTCTTCTCTATTGTGTACATTTATTTCCCAAAAGTTACATCCTATTTGAAATGATTTTACTATTCACAAAATGGCCATTCCCTTCTTAAAAACACGAACTAGTGTTACATGAAATAGGTCATAAAATAGTTTGCTGGAAGCAACTTTGACTGTATATTATGCAAAGCTTTTAAATGGAGTGAAGGAAAGTTAGTTTTCATTTTTTCGGGCGGTGGGGGACATGCATGTAAGGTATTCCATAATGGGAGAAGGAAATTATCGTCCACTAAGGTATTATAATTTTAAGTTTTCCCATTCTGAGTGGGTCTTGCCCAAGCAATGTAGATCACTTAAAAAAATGGTCGGAAAAAATACGAAATCTGAATAACGCAAGGTATGGCTAGGTGGCAACTACCTTTTGGGTACATTTGTTAATGATTCACTTAGGGCCGGTTTCACCAACAGGAATCAAGATGATGATCCCGAGTTGATCCGGATCAACTTCGGTTGATACCCGTTGTACGTTTCTCTACGGCCACTTGACACGAATCAACATATCTGACCTCGAATGCAAATTTGACTAGCAAATTGATCCGTCGCCGAGCGGTGGATCACGGCCAGATCAGGAGTTATTTCTCGTCTGGTCGTCTAGCTAATTCCAGTTTTCCGTGTTTTTTAAGTAAACACGCTGTAGTTGGATTATAGATTCGGTATGGAAGTATTCGTTAAAGGAAGTAGGACATTACGCGTAATAATTTGTTGAGCAAACAGTTTTTTTAACGGTAGTAATTGTAAATAAAAAGTAGGGTTAACACAATTGAAGTTAGAATTCCTCGGTATTGGAGGAAGTAAAATTTTAAATATATTTTGGCTTCAGATTAATGTAATTATAAGTAGCATTAAGTAAAAAAGCATTTTGTGGTACTGGTATTCCAATTGACGTGGGACAGTGTATTGAATAACTTTTTTTTAGTGTAGTAATACTTCAATTTTGTTCTTGTTAGGGTAATTTGTGTGCGTGAAATAATTATGTTTTCGGAATGTGACTCATAAATATTATTAATGAAACGTCATTTGAAGACTATTGCTGGGAGAGACACGCACGAGTAATCCCAAAAGAAGCGATTATTTTGAAATGTGACAGAACGGGCATTAAAAACTTTCTTGTTATTCTACTCATTAGCTTTCGAGTAATTCTCTATTTACTGGAGAGAAATTGGGCGTAGTCTATGCATTATTTCGCAACGTCAGGTGAATCCATCACGCGAACAAGAACACCACACACACGGAATCGAAATGAAATCAAAAACAACTCGTTTTCTAACGCTGACCGGCGGAGAATACCCACAATGCATTGCAAAATTGTTGGCCGAACCGCGAATTTTCACGACTGCTTCACGGAATCATGGATCCGGATTAACTTCGGATGTCTCAAAATGTTGGTGAAACGCAGGGATCAAGTCGCCTTGACTCGCGGATCAGGATCACGAAACTCGATCAACTACGAATTTGATCCTGGTTGGGTGAAACCGCCACTTAGTGTTTTTTACTCGCGCAACTTTTCTTGAACGATGACCTTGCTTCCCTCAGGCACAAGAAACAGTGGAAGGCAAAAAGCTCGCAGGCGAGCATGCTTACAGCATTGTCTTTAGCGCGAAATAGAAATTATTTGTGATTTTCTCAAAAAAAAAAAAAAAAAAAAAAAAAAAAAAAAAAAAAAAAAAAAAAAAAGACCGAGGCAGGTCATCCATCGAATCCACCACAGGAGCTACCTCAAACTCCTGAGAAAGTTAAAATGCAAAATATTGAAAAAGTTGCGAAGGTTTGACTAATTCTCCAGAGATTGGCATTGCTTCATAAACTCTAATGGCAGATTTCGAAACTAATACCCCCACTCTACCTGCATTTCTTCAACCCATCGTTCAAGAAAAGTAATAGTAGTTCACTCTATCGGCGTTCGGCTCACTCAACAGTTCACTTAAGTGGCCGGAATTACGCCACCTCTTTGCATCGCATGAAGATCGGATAACGAAAACCGTTCCCCAATACTAGAATTCATGTTGGGATATCCGGTATTCATGCGATTTGAAGAGGTATCGCAAAGCATCCCGGCGATTCCCGCCATAGTGGGTGACATGTAGTTCACTCTATCGGCGTTCGGTTCACTTAAACTGTTCATTCAGCTGGCTAGAGAGAGCGCTGAAGTAGAGGGAACGGCGCCACCTCTTTGCATTGCATGAAGATCGGATAGCAAAACACGTTCCGGGCGTCAGAATTCTTGTTGGGGTATCCGGTCTTCATGCGATGGAAAGAGGTATCGCACAGCACTGGCGATTCTGGCGTCAGAGTGGGTGACATGTAGTTCACTCTATCGGCGTTCGGTTTACTTAAACTGTTCACTCAGCTGTCAAGAGAGAGTGCTGAAGTAGCGGGAACATCGCCACCTCTTTGTATTGCATGAAGATCGGATAGCAAAACACGTTCCAAGCGTCAGAATTCTTGTTGGGGTATGCGGTTTTCATGCGATGGGAAGAGGTATCGCACAGCACCCTGGCGATTCCCGTCAGAGTGGGTGACATGTAGTGCATTCTATCGGCGTTCGGCTCACTTAAACTGTTCACTCAGCTGGCCAGAGAGAGCGCTGAAGTTGCGGGAACGGCGCTACCTACCCCTTTGCGTTGCAAGATCGGAAGCAAAACACGTTCCGAGCTTCAGAATTCTTGTTGGGATATCCGATCTTCATGCGATGGGAAGAGGTAGGTAGGTATAGAGCGATTTTCATAAGAATGGGTTAAAGTGACAGTTCGCGAAACAAGTATAATTTAGAAAAGTATCTTAGTTACGCCCTTTCGTTGTGTTTGTATACGGCTCCCGCGAAGACGTCACAATACAAGAGTTTCGTTTAGGTTATTTGCACGTACGCGAGACCCGGAAATATTGAAATTTAGTTACATATGTGAGAAAATGTCTTCACATGATCTCACATTCAGTAAAAGAAAACTGCCACAAATGTAAATAGAAAGAAAAATGATTTTTCAGGGGACGTTCAAATACTTTCTGGACGTTTCACAGCGAAAATGGCTCATGCAGTTTTGTAGTGAAGAGGGAAGTTACTTCATTATTATTAATGCATTTGAATGCATGCCTTGATCTAGTATGTCTATTTTTACCTATTTCGTGGGTGAATAATAGGCACATTCTTTATATTCACTCTCACCAATTAAAACATCTAAACAGTGAATGCTACCTTTTATTTGTATTTTTGCACCCACAACTAAAGGCTTTACTAATTAAAAAAAAAAATTGTTTCCTTTACAAGCATTTACTTTTCTAGTAAATATTTTAAATACTACATCTCGATAGAACATATCTCTATGATGTTAACAGAATTAATGGAATGGGTATTAGAAATGTCCTGTAAAAGTACATAAATATATGTAACTTGACAAGATTATTTATGCAGCACTTTGACCAATGGGGTGAATTGTATTTACTGCCATTACACTCTGGCAGCAAATTGGGATCCATTCCAGCATTTATGAATGAATAATAATAATAATAACAATAACAATAATAATAATAATAATAATAATAGTAATAATATTTTATTATTTTTCAGATAAGTTAAAAAATCAGATGCACTTGAATGAGAAATTGTTTTCGCTTGAGTCCAGTTCAAGCAAGCTTGTGAAGAAAACAAAATCTGAGATATGGTACAAAGACAACACAATTTATAAACAAGTGACAGTAAAAACAATTTATAAACAGTAACAAAGACAACAAACAAGTCCTATCATGCCTAAAAAAATATACAAAACATATGTTAATACAAAGAAAAGAAAACTATCAAATACAATACACAAAATTACAAATATAATACGATACAGAAAATTACAATACCACATACATTTAAACAATATACAAATTTAAAGAAAGAAATTAACAAAGGTAGAAAATATTTATTTTAATTAATTGTGGTAAATATATTAAATTCAGTTGGGTTAAAATTTAGTATATGGTACACCCTTAGATAACGGTGGCGGCGGGGGGGGGAAGGGGGAAGGAGAGGGGGAGAAGGGGAGTCTCCTTAAGCCGTCCCTCAAATTACGCTAAGCGCTCTGATAGAAATGAATAAAACTTACCGATTGGCTACTGCTCGTGGAGTTCGGAGGCGCCTCCAAACATTCTGCCAGGTAGCTGTCGAAGTGGTCAGCTGCGCGGCGCCGAGGCAAGACTTCGCTCATTGCGCTCTACGTTCCTTCGATATGATTTGTGTGCGCACCAGTTTCAGGGTCTCTAAAACACACAGAGGGGTTTACAGCAAAATGCTGAAAACCCTCGTCTTCTAAGCCGTTATAAGACTTCCAACAGTCCGAGAACACGATGGACCCCGGCTTGATGAAAGACTTAATAACGCCCAGAAGCTCCTCTCTGCTGCGTGTTTTAACGACCTCGAAAAAGGCGCGCTTCGTCTTCCGCTCGACACCCCCAAACACCCATTTCCCAACCACTCTCTTGCCACGATGGTACTTAAACTTGCTCTCATCTATTTCCACTCCCACACCAGCGCTCCAATGGGCTCACTCTCTCTACCAGCCGCACTGACTCACACCTCACGACAAAAACTCGTCCAGCCGTTCACGGTTCTACTGTTTACGTTCAGTTCATTCATAATAAATTCACACGGTACTTTCATGACCCAAAGATAGGTCATTACTAATACCTGGATCATACTCAACTTGCTTCCCGCGAACCATGACCCCTTCCGCACTGAACACTTTCGCGCATAAGGA